TTAAGCTGGTTTACACTTGGTTCTGCTGGTGCTTCCTGTTGAGCCACCACTTGATTATCATACTCTGAGAGAGGAGCCACATCCTCCTCCACTGTTTCAATACAAGTTTGCTTTTTAACCTTCTTCCTACGTCTATGGATGAGCTTTCTCAAAGAGAAAGGTGACTCTTCCTTTGGTGGCTTACTGCCTAACTGTCTGACACTCTCGAAGGAACTTGCTGCAGGTTCAGGGGCAGACACAACTTCTGCTTTGGCTTCTGTGGTTTCAGAAGGTACTCTTCAGAAGCAGCCTCAGTTTTGTCTCCTCTATCTCTTCCAGTGCTGTTTCTGTATCATCCACTGGGGCAGTTGCGTCCTCTATAACCTTAGTGTCTTCTGTCACATTCTCTTCATCATCAACAACTTTGTCCTGCACTTTGGTTGGGGTGTCAGTAAACTCTTCACAGGCTTCATGCCTAGAATTGTGCACTCATTCTTATCATTTGGATTCTGTGCTAGCCCATCTTTCTGGAGCCTCCTGAGATTCCATGCAACTTTCCCTTCTGAGAACTCCAGGCTCGAATCAAGCTGTAACAACACATCCATTCCTAACAATGGCTGACATGCCTGTCCAATCCATAAATTAGTGACAACTTCAGCAGACCCAACTGACTTGTTTGGCGTTGAGTCGACGGCTGAGACGGAAACAACGTTAGGAACCAGAGAGTCTGGTGTCATGACCCGTCATTTAATCACTCGCCCTTTAAATATGATGGAGGAATAATGATATTTGGCCTCAATTCGCTTTTCAACATTAATTGTTTTTAACTGCGAAGTTATTATCTCTTCAACTGAGTTTAACATGTTTTCCTCAGAGATATCAGGCACAGCCCATCCGGGAGTGGTTTTCGTGTGTGTTTAAATATGGTAGGCCAATTGAAGAGAGAGGCTTGGCCTCTTGTGGACAATCATATTATTGTTCTTGTATCATGGTTATGCCTGCAGTCGCCACTATGTGGCACTGCTGCTCCATGATTCAGCAGTGTTGGAGGACATGTTTATGAACCTTTTGTTGCTGAGTGGGGTGTTAACACAAGGGAAGTGGACGGAGCCATAAGGTCTGGTCAACCACAGGTGGTCATGTAGATCAAAAGGAGTGGATGAATCCTTGATTCCCTGTAAAGATATAAATCAGGAGTATTCGTTTTAGAAACAACAGTGAGTCGTAAATTCTACACCTGGGAAGACCTTTGTAGTGTATATCTGTGTCTTATCAGCTTCTTGCTTTCAGACTTAAACCAATGTGAAAACCACTGAAATCTAACAGCCATAAGGTGAAGCCTATTATCATTTCATCTCGCGCCGACGTCTTCGAACTATACGATCTTAACTTCATAAAAAAGAATGAGTTACGTTAAACTTACAGCAAAAAGTTTGTCGGAAAAAAAATCCTGCCCATTTTTTATGGCGAGGGATTTTATGCCAAACTAGTTTCTTCGGGGCGCAAAAAAATTTTGGTTCGGGAGCGGTGGCATGGTTTGACACGTGATCGTGCTAGACCAATCGAGTAGCTGATTGATGTCAACACTCCGGCAACATGGCTACCTCCGTGGTTTTACTTAACGTTACTGATAGAAAGTAATTCTCCCAAAAGTCTTCTAAAGTGGGCCAAATGGATTCTAAACAGTGCGATAAGGTTCACGATAATGACTTAAGTCATTTTGATCAATAAAAGGAAGTAATCAATGACAAGGACCATTTGTTTATTCATTTATTCGCTCCTAACTAAATACAACACTGATAAATAATAAAAATATTCTTTATTAAAACATATACACATATGTACAATATATAAAACAATACAAAACAGCATAAGAAAATGAATGGTAATGTTAACAATGCAACCACTGCAATACAACTCCGAGGCAATAGGCTACACATGGCATGTTAGTCTTCACTGTAAGTGTCAGGGCAGTCTTTTTTAACACATATGGTTTCTTTGTATTTCTTACTCATATAAAAGATAAGTGAAAGTGAAACCTCCCATAATGTGAATGTATGAGTATGTTTTTTCAGCGAAAAGCATCTTCTTCTTTTTCTTTCGGCTTTGTCCCTTTTTCAGGGGTTGCCACAGCAAATCATTGATTTCCATCTCTCCCTGTTCTCTGTATCTTCTACTCTGACTCCAACTACCTGCATGTCCTCCCTCACTGCATCCATATATCTCCTCTTTGGCCTTCCTCTCTTTCTCCTACCTGGTAGCTCCATCTCTAACATTCTTCTACCAATGTATCCACTGTCCCTCCTCTGCACATGTCCAAACCATCTCAATCTGGCTTCTCTAGCTTTTTCTCCAAACCTTCCTGTCTGTGTTGTCCCTCTAATGACCTCATTCCTGACCCTGTCCATTCTTGTCACTCCTAAAGAGAATCTTAGCATCTTTAACTCTGCCACCTCCAGCTCCTCCTCCTGTCTTCTGCCTATTGCTACTGTCTCTAAACCATACATCATGGCTGGTCTCACCACTGTCCTGTAAACCTTTCCCTTCACCTTAGCTGACACTCTTCTGCCACCGATCACTCCTGACACTTTTCTCCAGCTGTTCCATCCTGCCTGTACTCTATTCTTCACCTCTCTTCCACAGTCTCCGCTGCTCTGAACAGTTGATCCTAAGTACCTAAACTCCTGCACCTTCACCACCTCTGCTCCTTGTAGCCTCACTATTTCACTGTTCTGCCTTTCGTTTACACACATGTACTCTGTCTTGCTGCGACTGACCTTCATTCCTCTTCTTTCTAGTGCAAACCTCCACCTCTCTAGGTTCTCTTCTAGCTGCTGCCTACTCTCACTACAGATCACAATGTCATCTGCAAACATCATAGTCCATGGGGACTCCTGTCTGACCTCATCTGTCAATCTGTCCATCACCACAGCAAACAAGAAGGGGCTCAGGGCCGATCCTTGATGTAGTCCCACCTCCACTTTGAAGTCTTCTGTCCTCCCAACAGCGCACCTCACTACTGTTGTACTATTCTCATACATGTCCTGCACCAAACTAACATACTTCTCTGCCACTCCTGACTTCCTCATACAAAACCACAATTCCTCCCTTGGCACTTTGTCATATGCCTTTTCTAGATCTACAAATACACAATGCAGCTCCTTCTGACCTTCCCTGTACTTCTCCATCAACATCCTCAAGGCAAATATTGCATCTGTGGTACTCTTCCTAGGCATGAAACCATACTGTTGTTCACAAATCTCCACTTCCTGCCTCAACCTAGCTTCAACTACTCGTTCCCAAATCTTCATTGTATGGCTCATCAACTTTATCCCTCTGTAGTTGTTACAACTCTGTGCATCACCCTTCTTATGAATTGGCACCAGAACACTTTTTCTCCACTCATCAGGCATCTTGCCAGTCTCTAAAATTCTGTTAAACAAACCAGTCAGGAAATTTACTGCCACTTCTCCTAAACACTTCCATACTTCCACTGGTATGTCATCAGGACCAACTGACTTTCCACTCTTCATCCTCTTCAGGGCTTTTCTAACTTCATCCTTTCTAACCTGATCTACCTTCTTCCTACTAGTCTCTGGCTCCTCGTTTCTACTTTCCCTTTCATTTTCCTCATTTAACAACTCCTCAAAGTATTCCTTCCATCTTCTCAGCACACTTTCCTCACTTGTGATCACATTCCCCTCTCTGTCCTTAATCAACCTCACCTGCTGCACATCCTTCCCAGCTTGATTTCTCTGTCTCGCCAATCTATACAACTCCTTTTCTCCTTCCTTTGTTTCCAAACTCTCATACAACTCCTCATATGCCTTTTGTTTGGCCTTGGCCACTTCCCTCTTCACCTCCCTTGTCCTCTCTTTGTACTCCAGTCTGTTCTCTTCTGTCCTGTCACTGTCCCATCTCTTCTTCGCTAATCTCTTTCTCTGCACACTCTCCTGGATCTCATAATTCCACCACCAGGTCTCTTTTTCCTCCTTTCTCTGCCCAGAGGACATACCTAGCACCTTCCTACCTGTCTCCCTAATCACTGCAGCTGTAGTCTGCCAATCATCTGGGAATTCCTCAACACGACCCAGAACTGCCCCTACGTCCTTCCTGAAGTCTTCACAACATGTCTCTTTCCTTAGTTTCCACCACTTGATCTTCTGCTCTGTCTCTACGTTTGTGCACGTAAAATTGGAGCAGTGCACGTAATTTGGTACCCAACCTGCACCAGTGGAAGTAGCTTTTTACTACTACTGGTACCACTGGTAGAATTATCCAATAAAGAGCTGAAAATAAATAAGATTGGAAAAAAATAGTTTCCAGTGTGTTATCTTTTTCTTCCTTGTTACGTATTAAACGTCCTTGTTAACCTAGAATCAGCCGATGCGGCGCGGGGGTTACGTTTCTTTTCACTTGTATTATGTAACTTTCCCTGGAAACAAGTTGCTCTCCTCCTCATTAATCTGTTGATGATCATGTGACACAAATCGTGTTTGGTACCCCAAATATGGTAAAAGCCGGTAACTTGCATGGAGACGGCGCGAACAGTCGGGGACCGGCGGGAGGTCCAGGCGTTCCAGAATCCACCACTGTCCGAGAAAGTCCGGGGCGGGGCGGCACGGCGCGAAATGTAGACCGTAGTGATGGGAAAACCGACTCTTTTTACTGATTCGGATCTTTGACTCTCGAACAGTAAAATGAACGAGTCGTGAACGAATCTTGAACGAATAATTTCATTCGTTTTACAGCAGGTGGCGCTTTAGCCCTATTGTGGGCGTTGTAAAGAAGGCTGCGGTTCTCCGACACTAAATACTGAAGGCAAGATGGTTTGCTTCCGCTGACAAAGTCTAAAAAGTACACAAAATACCATAAGCAATTAAACCATGTGAAACTAATCTGCGAGAACGAAGCGAAAGATTAGTTCACAGGGAGTGATTCGTTCATAGTGAAAGATTAGTTCACAGTAAAAGATTAGTTTGCAGAGAGTGATTTGTTCGCA